TCAGAAAGCCTACTGTGTTATCTTGTGGGCACGTAATTTGCAATCAGTGCATAAAAATTTAGATTTCTAATGAAGGATCTTTCAAATTCTGCCCTATTAATGACTCTTGCTAGATTGATAAAAATTTCAAAATGTGTTCTGTCATACCTTTAATGAATAATCTTGAAAAACTTAACACAATAAACATAATCTGCGATAAACATCCTTAAAAGCTTGTTAAAACTTATTGCCAAACAACTCATTAATTACTTTGTAGCATTTGCTCAAATGCATGCCTATGCATTAATCAGAAAAATTCAGATCACTAGAATGTTTTGAGAAAAGATATGGAAGATTACATTCAGCTCAAAATCCCCATGCTTAAAAATTTACTTGAAAGAATTTAAGTTATCATCCAAAGTCTCACACAATATCAGAATAAGGATAAGATGTTCAAAGCTAGTGATTTTCTAGACTTGATAACTCAAATAAACAAATTCTAAAATCCTGAACAGTCAGTGAATGACTTGAGTTTATTCCACAATGAACTGCAGTCAAGGATGTCAACACTTGAAAATCTAGAAAATATTCAAATTCTTTAACCAATACAACAAAATGATAAGTATGCTGCTGATTTATTACAAATGCTATCAGAGCCAGATAAGCCAAAGTATTACAGAAGATTGGTCGATTTTCACATTGAAACATTGAGAAATCAGTAAATAAAAGGTATTTGTAAACTTTTACCTCTAAATGGCTAATGCAAACTTATATTCAAAGCAACGAATGATGGATTTACAGCCTCTAATTTTCATTAAAAATGTGATAATAAAGGGCCTACCATTTCATTTATCCAAAGTGAGCATGGGCAAGTGTTTGGAGGCTATACAACTGTCTCTTGGACAACTCCTGATAATAATAACAAATTGAATAATGATAATGATGCATTTGTGTTTAGTTTGAGTAAGAACACTCTTCATAAATAATATCAAAACTTTGATAATGCAGTTCTTCATTACAAAGATTGGTTAATGCTATTTGGAAGTAGTCATGATATTTTTATTTCAAATGATTGCAATAATAATAGCAATAGTGGTTGTAATTTAGGATATACATATATGCCTCCATAAGGTTTTAAGTATGGAGATTAATAGAGTAAAGATTATTTAGGTGGAAGTAAGGAGTTTAAAGTAATAGAAATAGAAGTGTACTAAGTTTTAGTATGATATTTAATATTATTAAACCAAAGTATTATATTCATTAATTATTAGATATATGATGTTTTAATATAAAATATTTTATTGATTTGGGGTTTTGGGGTTTTGGGG